TCACTTTGCTGCACTAGAAGAAAAATAGGGATAAGGGTTCAGAGGATCGAACGCCTAGCTAGAACGACTTTCTCTCATTTCTTTCACTTTGCTGCTAAGTATCAATTATCAACCAAACCTCAATTGGGATCACAGGATATTCTCCAAATCGTCCTTATAAAGAATCATTCAACAACTATCGATTTTCACAAGATTTGAAACTCAAATAAGCTTTTTGTTTCAATTGTTTTTTTTACCTCTTGGATTTCCATCGCCTTAAGGTTCAGATAATCAAACGTTTGGCTGAGATAATTCTCTCTCACATCTCACTCAATGCTGTTAACTAAACCAAACACCATCTAGGATCAACAAAATACAAGGATCTATCAACAAAATACAGAGCATATGTCATCGCTCTTAATTTTCTGTTCAATTCAATACCTTACCTCGATTGTTGATCCCAATTGGTAATCAAGTGAAGGTTAAAGAATCATCTCAGCCTCAAGCATTCAATACTCGGAAGTCAAAACTCTTATTTGTGGTTTTTTCTTATTAGTGATATTCAACTCTATAAACTCTTGTTTTTTATTTGAACGAAATAGGAATAAGTTCAGTTTTTTATTTGTTTTAAAATTTTAATATATTAAAAATAGGATGGAAGGACGTATGAAACGTCTGTTACTATTCCTAATCATACATGTAAGATTTAAGCATGAAAAGGTGCTAACATGGCACCCTCTAATTTGATGCATAGAAGGTTCTAGAGGGACGAATGTAAAAGAGATCTAGACTCATTTTAATTGTTGTTGATATAACGATTTTTGGTCATGTATCAATTTTTTCGTGATGTATCAATTTTTTGTCTAAGCACCTCGTCATCTCGTCTGCTCCCATGGGGTCGGTGACTCAGGGGCTGAAGTGGAGCTCCTTGGTGGCGAGCTGCCTGGAGGCGTTGCCTGGTGGCGAGCTGCCTAGTGGTGAGCCACCTTGATGTCGAGCTCCCTAGTGGTGAGTTACCTTGATGAGCTGCTTGGAGGTGAGCTACCTTGATGAGTTGCCTGGTGGTGAGCTAGCTTGATGAGCTGCTTGGAGGTGAGCTACCTTGATGAGCTTTGTTGCTCTTTTAGAGGCCTGCAAGGAACCAAATGTCAGAGGACCCAGCATGGCTAACCCAGCGAAGTCACTCCGATGGCTAAGTCAGCACTTAATGGAGAGTTGAGAATGATATTAGAGAATGAGAGAGTAGAGGTTACCCATCCTTCTTTTCCCGCCTCATGCCTTCGCCCCTAGGGGGTGAGGTCCTTATATACTAGAGTCCTTGTGGGTTAGGTGGAGCAGTTCCTGGATTCCCAGTGTGATGGGATCTGCTTTCGTGTTAGGTGGGGATAAAGCCACCAACTGATAAGGTTGCCCATTTCCGCCTGACTCGAGGAGTGGGTGAGCTAATATAGCCGTTACAAGTCACAATCCCGTAAAATGCAGGGTACGGTGGTGAGCTCCCCAGGGTTGTCAGGTTGGCACCTGTGTCAGGCCGCTAGCTTGTGCTAGGGCTAGGCTGCCAGCTCGTGCCAAGGCCAAGCTGCCAGCTCGTGCCAGGGCCAAGTTGCCAGCTCGTGCCAGGGCCAGGTCGCGCCAGGGCCAGGTTGCCAGCTCGTGCCAGGGGCCAGGTCACGCCAGGGCCAGGCTGCCAGCTCGTGCCAAGGCCAAGTCACGCCAGTGCCAGGCTGCCTGGTGGGACACCATCAACTTAGCAAAGGCAAGTTATTGTCAAAGTGGTCTCGGGTGTCATCTAGTTGTTCTGAGGTGCCAAGCTACATGAGGGTGAGTTGCTTGTGGCGAGCTGCCTAGTTGTCAAGAGGTTGCACTTAGTTGTCAAGAAGTTGCACTTAGTTGTCAAGAGGTTGCCAGGTGTCATAGTGTCATTGGAGGGCCAAATCCGCCCTCATCAGTTGTATTTGATGAGCATTGGAATCAATCTTTGGATTGCCCAAAAAAGAGAAGAAACAACAACTAGTTGATAAAGACAACTTTTGGAGTCTATTATCAATAAAAATAATCTTTTTAATATAATTTATAAAATATGTTAACTTTTTAAAAAATATACGAGGACAAAATCACTATTCATCTTTTCCTCCTCCAAATCACTTCCGCCCAGCCCAGAAACCTCAATGACCATCATCCATCAGCACTGCCGCTGCCACCTCCGTCCACCTCAGTCAACGCCAATCCAACACCCACCTCCGCCTGCCTCTAGGTCAGCCTCTGCCCCAGCCCCGCCACGTCCGCCCATTCAACAGTCCACGAAGAAGAAGGTCGCGGGGCTGGGACGGAGGTTGATCTGGAGATGGGAATAGCACGGGATAAAAATTGAAATTCAATCGATAGACTTGACGTGCCCCCCATTTTCCATCTCCAAACTCCCCATCACTGCATCATTGGGGATATACTTACTCCAGAACCCATGTTGCTTCCAAACGCGCATTATCTCTTCGATGGGCTCTCCCTTTGTCTCCGGCAACAAGAATAATACGAAGATGGTCATTACCACCACCCAACCGGCGAAGAAGAAGAAGAGCCCAAACTTGAAGTGGCACAACATCGTCAGGAACACCTGAGCTATGGCGAAGGTGAACAACATGTTCACCGCCACGTTGATGCTCTGGGCCGTCGACTGTATCTCAAGTGGGAATATCTCACTGGGCACCAGCTATCCCAATGGCCCCCATGACCACGCAAAACCCGCCACGTACACACAGATGAAGAACACCACCACTCCGGCGTATCCCTTGGATATACCATCCGCCTAACCGTCCGTCCCGAATTTCAGGGCGATTTGAATTGCCACCACGATCTGCCCCACCAACCCAACGCAAACGATCAATACATCCATTGCCATTATTTTCCTGGAGGTGGGGGGGCGATTTGAATTGCCACCATGATCTGNTATTTTCCTGGAGGTGGGGGGGCGATTTGAATTGCCACCATGATCTGCCCCACCAACCCAACGCAAACGATCAATACATCCATTGCCATTATTTTGCTGGAGGTGGGGGGAGGCGGCCGCTGATGGATGGTGGTTGCAAAAGTGGTTTAGAGGAGGAAGAAGATAAATTTGATATATTTTTAAAAAAATTAATCTATTTTGAAAACTATATTAAAAACATTATTTTTATTGATATTAGAGCTTAAAAGTTGTTCATATCAACTATAATCCCAATAATTTAGTGTACAATTCAATGTGCCAGTGGTTCTCAGTCAGAATTAAAATTGGACTCGGAATCAGAATAGTTTATTTTCAAAATTAGTATCAGAATAGTCTGTTTGGTTCAGATGGAATCGGAATCAAGATTCCAATCATCTGTTTAGTTCATTTGGAATTGAAATTTCTTTTATTATTATTATTATTATTATGTGAGGTTTTTATGTCAAGAATTTTTATTTCTTCATAGAGTCTACAATAGGGGAGCCTAAAATGGCAATTCCCTATCCTATTCCACGAAGAGAATTGGAATCAAAATCTCATTCCAACCAAGCAAATGATTGGAAGCAAATCCAAATTATGGAAATGGAAAGATTGAAAGCTTTAATAATTTCCCCACCAGCACTGACCTTACGTAAGGCAACAGCAGGGAAATCAGAAATTGAAGCTAAAACGCTAGGGTGTGCTAGTCCGTCCACGGTCCAACAACAAATGCTGGATTGAGGGAGGCATTCGCTTGTGTACGAAAAACAAAATCTGCTACATCAGCATCAATACAGATCATGGCCAAGTCGCAGTTGCTTTTGTTTAAAAACAAAAAAACAAAACCATTTTAGTTTTTCAATTTCTTTTTTTTTGGAAAAGAAAATCATACTTGTGGCCTTATGGGCGGACACCTCCCTCGATGCTCAATGCTCAATGCGACTGGTATTTTATTTTGTTTTTGGGGTGAATTTTAACTGCATAAATGATTGGCCATATTTTCTCATGTCAATACCATTTCCTGCGGACGATCAGTTTTTAGCATTCACAACAACTTCATTCTTGCTGTAAAAATCCCAAGTTTATATTATATACACATACCAAAGAAAATAAGCGGTAAAAGAAAAACAAGAAAATAAAAGGACAGACGAATCCTCCATTTATACAACAAGCCGGCCAGAAATACATAGAAGATGCCAATATAACCTCTCTCATTTCTTCCACGCAAGTTTTATCAGTAAGCCAATGTCCTCTCAAAATGCCCAGCACACCAGCCATATTCTATTGCAGTGGTTCCTGATGAGGAGTCACTGCAATCCCTGGAGCTATAGTGAAATGTAAACCTCTGTGTTGTCCAGACTGTAATACAAATGCAACCTCTGTTGCTGCAAGAGCTGCTGCTGCTTCCTAATTTACAAAATAAGTATGGCATTGTTACATGCACTTTGAACTCTTGATAAAAGAGGTAAAACTAAACTTACATCTATTATGAATTTTCTAGCCTAGAAAAAATCTCCTTGCCAAATTACGCATTAACCAGATGAACCCTTACTACAAAGATGCACTAAACAAGTGGTGAAGTGAAGGTTGGAGGACCCACTGACCTGCCTTTGCCTTCGGCGCTGCAAAATACTGATGGCCCAGGCCATTATATAACATGGCAAAAGAAACCCAGCAGCCCGGAGAAGGAAAAGCTGCTCAGGGGGAAACGTTAATTAAAGGATGCAACAATGGAAATATTGAAACGAATGAATCAAACCATGGAAAAACTAATAAAACCATGCAAGATAGAATCAATAGTGAATCCTACTTACAGAGAAGAATGCGGAGGCATCATCTTCCCCATCAGCATTGATAGTCAATGCATGCCTTAAGAGCAGAAGCGCCATCAACTGCAATAAACCAAACCAAATAAAGATTATAATGAAATCTAGTGCCTACATTACCTGCAAGATCAACACATGAACGCAAAACAGTGACATAATAAAGATTGAAATGAACAGACCTATTAAACCAATTAGTAGATACACAGATGTCTCACAAATTTTCCAATAGAGAGGAGGGAGGAGAAACCCCTTTTTTGGGCTTTCAACGCATATTATAGGCACTTATTAATGATAGATGTGTTATTTGTTTTACTTATGTTTAAGGCCAAACTAGAAGCAGAATTGTATATAAACTAGAATTAGTCCACCACTACTACACTGCAGCATAACATTGCTTTCCACTTGAATATAGAAACTTTGGTCTTCTTTATGAAACACAATTCTTGAACATGCAGATGAACAGAAACACTGAACAACTAACATAGCTACTTACAATTAGAGCAGCAGAGCGGCAAAATGCAGCTCCACTAGCATTTGTAGCAGCATACTCGTCATATTCAGCTTCCAGGAAATGGCGTTCAGCTGCAGCCATTGCCAATAGTCGAGGGTCATGCAAATCCAAAGGAGAACCAGAGATTGTCCAGGCACCACTATAAAACAAATCAAATAGTAGTAGTAAGATATAACAGCCACTTCAAGTAAATTCAACATTTAACTTCTAGAATTCAAAGCATCTGAAGCCCATGTGTTTCTTGACAAATGAGAACAGAGATTAATAAACCTCACTAATCCTTTCAAAGAAAGATATCAGGTCACCATCCAAATACAAGAAGATCACCAAAGCCATCGTACTAAGCTTACCTGATGTCAATTGTTGTTTCTAAGGGCCGAGGTGGAGGTGGTGGTGCAGTATACCCCGGTTGATAAGACTATACATGAGGGAAAATTCAATAATTGCAGTCAGTTGACACAATATATACATACATATATATATATATAAAACAAGTATGTTCCAACATAGCTACAAAAATTATGGCAAACAATGAGCTAATGCAACAAACTTAAGGAAAGCACTTCATATGCATCTGACACTCCATTCCCTTAAAAATGGAAATAGATAGATTTTTAACCCATGTTATGACATGGTTAATGTATTTAATAGTTTGATGATTATAGACCTTACAGAAAAGGTAAAAATATTAAGATATTATAACATAATACATATCCAGACATACAAAATAATAGAAAACAAAGATGGCATGGCACACCATACTAAGAAAATAAGAACCATCCATATGGTAGTCAGCAAATGTAGGGATGCAAACAGATCAGACCGGATCAGATTCGAATCAGGGTAAGTCAGATCCAATCTGAGACTCGATTTGAATTTGAATCCTAGCAGTAAGTCGGATCTTTGCATCTGATCCGGTCCGACTTATTTTCTTTAAAAATTAATAAACTACTAAAAGAAAAATGAAATATACTAACTTAAAATAAAGTAAAAAACAAAAAATACAAGTATTTTGAATTATTTTTTATGAGGAGAAATTTGGCCTGACCCGCTAGTGCGCGGACACGTGGAGCGACTAGATGATTAGATGACAACTCAGTATTTCCAAGTACCTCAGCAGGCCAGGTCAGCTCGAGCATCTCGGACACCTCGGCTAAGACCGAGGTCCGAGTAGCTTGTGGCGTCCCAGCCTGTTGAGGTGCTATGTAGCCCTCTTCTAGAAGCTAGCCAGCTGTCTCCAATCTCTCTGGGATCACACCGCATGTCAGCGAACCTTATCCTTATCCCACCCGGATCAGACGGACTTGATAAGCCTTATCAGCTCACACGAAGTCCATCTCTGAGTGCGAAACGGACTCCTAATTATGCGGGCCGAAAATCTCAGATATGTTTCGTGAGGCCTACGACAGCTCGCCTATATAAGGGCATCACCTCTAGCCTCGAAAGGTACACGCGATTTAGCTCTCATACTCTTATATTTACAAGCAAACCAGCTCGCTACAACACTCTTCGCTAACTTAAGCATCGGAGTGCCCACACCGGGTAAAGCACCCCGGGACCTCTGATATTGTTCTTCTTGCAGTTCAACTGGCCACATGTTAGTCCAACATGTGTAAAGTATTTATAAAAATATAATATAAAAAAAGTATTTATAAATAAATAAAACATATATATGTATTATATATATTTATATTTATAAATATAATATATATGTCGGATCAGATAGAGGTGATCCGAATCCGATCCGATTTCTGATTGGATCCTATTATCTAATCCGAATAGGGGTGATCCGAATTCGACCAAATAGAATCGGCTCTCAGATCGGATCATGATCTAATCCATTTGCACACCTAAGCAAATGGAAGACCTTGTTGTCTCCCATATACTCCCATATATAACTTAAACTAATTTGAAATGGTAAGAAAGTATGTCATATATTAGCAATAGACTTGTTCATGCGTCGGGCTCGGACGTGGCCTTTGCAAAAATTTGAATGGCCCTACCCAAAGCCCAAGCCCAACATTGTGTAAAGTCAGGCCCGACGCCTGGCCCGTGAATAGGTCTAATTGCCATAAAAAGTTTAGATCATCAATCATTTGCATCAGATATAAGTACAGATTAAGAGATAGTTAAAACAATATTCCAAGAACTTTAGAGTTTTATTTTCTACCTAGCATAAATGGTAAAACCAAAACTCATAGAGAGCAAGCTGAAATGTTGGAAGGTGCATAGTTGGTGGCAACTAAACAAATAAATGTAATCAATAATCAATTATTTTGGACAATAGTCAATAAAAAAATAGGAATTACTGAACTAGTTTCAATCTTGATCTCATATAAACATGCATTGTCTAAGACAACTAGGTCACTACCATCTTGATCTCATATAAACATGCATTGACCTCTTATCCACCTCCGCATAAATCTTCACCAAAGAAAAAACAATATTTTGACAGAAAGGGGACTACAATACAGAAGAAAAGAAGCAAATTTCTCATCACATATAAAAGTTCAATAAGCATTAACATTCTCTTTCAACCAAGAGTCATTATTCCAACCTATTATGATATTTTATATAAGGACTTGTGATTAGAAAATGGCTAAACAAAAGCTTGCTAATCAAGAAAATGGCTAAATAATGGGAGTTCCAACATTACTAACATGAGGTGCTCCCTATGAAATCTGGAGGTTGAGACCTCAAGCCACCTGTTCTAACATTGCAAGTTCACTGCAGCTGTTTGAAACCACTTCTTGAAGGCACCAAACCTACGTTGGTGCCCTCTCATTTCAGTAAAAGCACTATTGGAAGAGTGGCAGATTATTGGAATGTCCAAGAAATGGAAAGCATGCTGGTATTCCATTCTCTTAGCAATTTTGTGGGCGATATTGTTATGAGAGGAATAATAAAATTTTTAAGCGGAGAGAAACATCTGAAGCAGATTTAATCATATTGGTAGTTGAGGATCTTTGAAACTGATTACCTATACACAATGTATTTAAAGGTGACACCTTTTCTGTTTTCTTTTTTGAGGTGGACTTTTTTTGAGGTCCTCTATATGGCATAACTTGTACAGTATCTCGTTGTATAGAAGACCAAACATTTAAGAGTGCAAATATAAAAAGCACATAAATTTTTACCAATAAAAGAAAAAAATAACCCCTTAGGTAAAGTGAAAAAAAAAAAAAACTAGCAGTCATCAATAAATAAGAAGCAATTGACAGCACCTGATGACAGATCTCACAAGTTATATCTCCCTTCTCATTGCACCATCGCTGAACACACTTCCTGTGAGCAAACTGCATAAAACCTTACTCTCAGATCAGTTTCCAATCCAAGTAAAATGACCTAGAAATAAAAACTGAAAGATAAAATGCAAATCTCAAACAGATACTGGAAAACGAAAAAAAAAGGACAAAAAGAATCAATGCATGTAGTCCTCATAACAGTTATACTGAATCAATTCATGATTTTTCCCCTGCTACAGCTACAAGATCATCTAAAATGAGTGCTACTACTTATACATGAAGTAGACCAGCAAACGTTACTGAGAAGCACTGCACCAAAGTGCTCCCTTTTATATAGTCCAAATGTTGACCATATCCTCATCATCATCATCAAGCATTGTCTATAGAGAACTGAAAAGTTGCTTTAATCCAATGGAGAAAGAACTGGCAAAAACATTGTCGATTAAATCTACCACACCGGTTTTAGGTAAAAACAAATATGCCTTCAAATTTGGTTCTCATCTCTACCTGCATGCAAGCATCAAAGAACAAGCTAGACTTCAAACCAAACTGATGATGAGACTGACCAATGAATAGAAAATAACAAGGCAGCATCCACCAACTCAATGAGAAAATACAGAAATATACCATGTCTCCAAAGAACATAGTAGCTCTTGTGAAAGCCTTTTATATCTAAAAGATAATTAATCTTCCCTACGAGATATTTAAGTAGTCCACGTCCAAACAAGAGGTAAATATTAGATATTTACAACATTTTAAGGAAAAAAAAAAAAGGTAATAACTAATTTGGACAAAAACGGCAATATCATCCTAGATCTCTGTTGAACTGGTTGAAGTAATGGTGACTGAGAATATCCTTGACGACACTTTAGGATGTTTCAGTGAGTAGATATCATATCTAGCATGTCCAACACAAGGAACAGAACTTGGTTGGGTACCATGTGACATAATAGAACCTAACATCCAAGAGGCTGTGAGATGCATACGGCACGGGGACTCCTACACCCGAAATTCGGAATATAGAAAGACTTATACGAAAGATACCTTCAAACTGCCGCTGCAGGCACAAGGCGTCTCCAGGTTCTTGATGTGGTCCTCCTCTTGACAAATGCGGCATTCCATAGTCTGAAGAAGAGGTTCTTCCTCATCGGAGACGTCATGTTCCTCAACTCTTTTATCTTCAACGGCAGGACCGGATGGAACTGCAGTCTGAGCGCGAGAGCCTTCTCCAGAAGGTCCCGAAACGTCAGCTCCTTGCATAGATTGTAAAGTTGCAGGCGTGATGAGGCGGTCAACATACAAAATCAAGTGATCCCCCATAGCTCAATGAAATTTCCTTGTTGCTCAAGGAATATTCCTGGTTCACCACAATTCCAATGAGATGCAATTAAAATAAAAAGATATTTTGACCGAATTTGCCCTATTATGAACCAAAGCTTCAGCTTTTTCTTCATGCAAACAAAAAGAAACTTCAAATTTTACAGAAAAAGACCAGGAAAACTCTAAAAATCTAAAACAAAGCATAGAATCTCCTCGACTAAACAGCATTTCCCTTAATCAATCAAAATCATTCTCAATGAACCCTAACAAGACAAATCAAAGGGAAACTAACTTTCTATTTAAACACACCACACTAATCCGTACAAATTCAAGCAAACTTCCTTTGAAAACACAACATTTGAAGGAAAAAAGGTACAGTTTGCACAAACCCAAATGCAAAACGCTCCTGAATATTGAACCCTAGAAATCCACGATGCCGCTGAGAGCTTCAGCGAATCGAAGGATTTCTGCGGAAACAAAAAAAAAAGGATCACGAAAGCATATTAAATGAATCAGAAGCAAGGGCATTAAAGGGGGTGAAAAAGAAAAGAAAAGAACGAAAAAAATAAAGAAAGAAAGAGAGAATGGATAGACGGAGGGAGAGGGGAGAGGCACCTGAAATGTTGTACGTCCGTTGGCGCGTATGGCCGTGGAAATAGCTTCAAGAAAACCTCTCCTCCGCGACCTTGCTTAGAAAATTCTCAAAATCGAGACTTCCATTTATAGCTCCGACATCAGCGTCATAGGCTCGTCCAACCGAACCTCATCTAGGCTCGGTAACGTCCGTCCAACGCTCCAGTGTACATTTGTCAGTCAGTTACATTATTGCTGATTTCGGCCTCATAATTATCATTTATTATTTTCTTTTGCGCATAAAAATACAATAAAAACGTACATTTGTCAGTGGTCGCTTCTTCCTTTTTCACAATAATCAGCGGTCGCATTTGTGTTAATAGACGTCAACCCGGTGACGTTTTCGGCTAGAGTTTCCCGCGAAACGAACGCATAACGGCATAAGTTCCTTGTCAGTGCTCACTCGACCGTGCTAACATCGTTCGCACAGCCTTTTACAGCCGTGCATTGGAAATATCTATATTTTGTATGCCATATTCTCAATGCAAAACTGCAGGGGATTGTGCGAACGTTGTTAGCAGTGAAGCCGATTCCGATTTCCCTTGAATAGGGGTGCAAATTTAGCGGACTGAGTCGGGTTTTTAATTCAATCAGGTACCCAAAAAATTGGGCTTAAAGCCTGCTTAGATTAAGTTCAAAATATTCAATCCGAGTCTAGTTTGTACTAAAATTTGATGCAATTGTATTGGGTTCGGCCAGGTTTGATTTGGATTGGTCATTAGTCTATATTAAAAATTAATATATCTATACGTATATTTATATATGTACAATTTAAAAGCGAATGGGTGTATATACCACTCTTGGAAATCATCCAGGTCAATCTCTACTTCGGCGAAATTGAACTAGCTGACCCCATAGAATTACGGTGAGCTGTCCTAGGAGTCGGTCAAGCTATAGGGACTTAAGGCGACCTGTTAAGGAGAGCTCGTTAACCACTCCCTCCAGTTTCATGTCGGTAAGGCCGAATTGGCAGGCCCGTAAGATTACGGTGACCTGTTCTAGGAGTTGGCTGAGCTGAGAGGACCAAAGGTGACATGCTAGGAAGAGCTCACTAATCGTCCCTAGCAACTCACTACCAAAGGCGCCTAAAATGACTCACCGTGTCATACACCAGATTCTACGTGAACGAATCGTAACTCCCGCAAAAATCTCTCAACCAACACCTTAATCCGCTTGAAAATAAGGAAACAACTCCTTAAAGAGCTGAAGACAGTTACATTAAGCCCCTTGAGTCCAGGGGCATATATAAGACATCTAGATCCACCCAGAAATGTATGCACACTCATACACTCAAGCTCTCTCACACTCTCAAAGAAATCCCCATTCACCTACTGACTTAAGCATCGGAGTGCCTTCCCCGGGTAAAAATTACTCGGGCACTCTCACCCTTCTTCCTTTGCAGCTCATTTCATCTCAGACATCCAAACATCAACTCGGCCCAGCCAGAGTCCGAATCACAGTACACGAGGGAGAGTCCAGATTGCGCGACATCAATTGGCGCTATCTGTGGAAACACGCTACAAAAGCTAAGTTCTCTATTACTGTTTTTTGAAAATTAAGAAATGGCCTCCTCAAGCAACCATCTTGCCAGTAATAGCAACAACAAAAACAGTGATAATGGTCGAATCTCCACTGTTACTATTGGACAGATCGACATTCCTCTGCACCCTGTTACCGTACTAGAGAATATGAATATGCCTCCTCCTACGGTCGAGCCTACATTGGCTTCTGCAGCAGTAGACGTGCACCAGTTCTATGATTTGGTACATTGCATGCAAAGAATGAGCGAGCAACTCAAATCCTAGGAAAACAAACTCACCTCTGAAGCAAGATAGCAGTAACCACAACAACAACAACAGCGGCAACACTAACGCCACAAGTGCCTCTTGAGCAGGTACCTCAGCACAACCAGCAAGTGCCTCGGAACAATCAGCAAGTACCTCTCCAACAGAAGACACTCGAAGTCCGCAACCTGCTTGCTCAACATAGTCCAAAAGCCAAACGAGACGCTGTGAGAATATGTACGGAGATTCAACAAGGAACTTTTGCACCGGATTTGGATCTCGCCATACAGTTGACAACAACAAAAAATGGTGTACAACATCCTAAACTGCGATGGGAAATGGAGCTGAACCCACCAACAACCATGGAAAAGTTTCTCAACATAGCGAACCAGTTCATGAAAGCAAAGGAAGCCGTAAGGACAAAGTCCGAGCTGATTGGAAAGAAAAAGCAAGTTGAGGAAGGGACGAGCAGCAGCAAGAAAAAAAAAAGAGAAGTAAATCTCATAGAAGAAATAGGTCGCCACGGGGGAGGCGTAGTAGCTCACCACAAAGAAAAAGCAAGTCGCCACTTCGAAGCTCAACTCAACGACAAACCACTCCACCTATGTATAGCAACTCGTCTTTGACGAGCTGAAAAGATACCTTAGTTCGCCCCCCTTGTTGACCAAACCTGAGACCATGGACGAGCTCAAACTTTACCTCTCCACAAGTGATGAGGTGGTTAGCTCGGTCCTGGTAAGAGAAGTAGATAAGACACAACAACTAGTATACTACGTGAGCAAGGTCCTGCATGTTGTTGAGACAAGATATCCTAATATAGAAATGCTCGCCTTTGCATTAGTGCTAGCTGCCCGGAAGCTAAGCCCTACTTTCAGGGCCATACCATCATTGTCCTAATCAATCGACCTCTAAGGCAGATTCTTTAGAAGCCCGAGGTCTCGAAGAGACTAACAAAGTGGGCAATAGAGCTCAGCGAGTACGACATCCGTTATGAGCTGCGACTAGCAATAAAAGCATAGGTTCTTGTAGATTTTATTGCCGAGTGCACTTTTAGCTCACCAATCCTTGATGCGGATGAGCTCGCAACAGCATCAGAGGCTTCAACTAGTGTGGCACCACCCTTAGCTTGTAGGATTGTCCAATCACGGTGGGAGCGGAGATAGGGTGATGCTCTGCGGGCCTAGCGAAGTAAAGCTGGAGTACGCGCTCCGGTTTCAGTTCTGAGCTTCAAATAATGAGGCCAAGTACAAGGCACTAATAGTTGGATTGGCACTAGCAAAGGAGGTAGGAGCCAAGCATCTCGTAGCTTGTAGCGACTCACAACTAGTAGTGAACCAAGTAAATGGTGAGTATGAGGCTCGAGAACTTACCATGTCAGCCTATTTGGATAAGGTAAGAGAACTCCTGCCTAGCTCCCATTCTTGGTATCTCCAACAAATTCCGATATAAAAAAATATAGAAGTCGACGCCCTCTCCAGGCTGGCGAGCACGATTGACTCGACCAAAAGAGTAGTTCACATAGAAGAGTTACCTCGCCCATCGATTAAAAAGGGGCAGAAGAGGTCACCAATATAACAACTACAGAGCCGATCTGGATAGATCCAATCTTCGACTACCTAAAGCAAGGTATATTGCCGAAGGAACGAAATGCAGTTCATCTTATAGAATGGCAAGTAGCTTGCTGCGTGAGAGTAGGCGAGCAACTCTATAGAAGATCCTTCACTCTACCATATGTATGATGCCTACATTGAACTGAGGCAGATTGGGTGTTATACGAGATCCACGAAGGTCTTTGTGGAGAACACTTGGGAGGCCAAACCCTAGCTCAGAAAGCCTTATGACAAAGGTACTACTGGCCCACCATGAAAGCAAATGTGGTCGAGCTGGTCCTGAGATGTGATAAATGCTAGCAACACACCAACATTCTACAATAGCCAACGCATGCTCCCTCCTTTCCCCAGATTTGATGTTTGAAGAAGAAAATGCATCCCGCCCGACCTCAGGCCAAGCTAATAAAGCAAGTGACCTATGAACCAGCCATACCAATTACCTTTACTGAGAGTTACTCTCTTCGCCGAGCTCACTGGCTCGAGAGTGGGGGCTAATTTGGTCATCCGAATCGTACAACGACATGTAGCTTCCAGATGACACCTCGGCGCCAAGTCAACGAGCTAGCTTAGAAAAATTAGCTCGAAGCATGTTACCCAGGCCGACCTCTACCTCGGCAAGACTGAACTAGCTAACCCGTAGGATTACGACAAGCTGTCCTAGGAGTCAGTCGAGTTGTAGGGACTTAAGGCGACATGCTAAGGAGAGCTCGCTAACCACCCCCTCCAGTTCCACTTCGGCAAGGCCGAGCTGGCAAGCCCGTAAGATTACGACGACTTGTTCTAGGAGCCAGGTGAGCTAAGAGGACCTAAGGCCACCTACGAGGAAGAGCTCACTAACCGTCCCCAGCAGCTCGCTACCAAAGGCGCCGATAGCGCACCGTGTTGTATGCTAGCTTCTATGCGAACGAATAGTAACTCCCGTGAAAATCTCTCAACTTACACCTTAATCCACCTGAAAATAGGGAAACAGCTCCACAAAGAGCTGAAGACAGTTACCCTGAGCCCCCTGAGTCCATGGGCCTATATAAGACGTCTAGATCCACCCATAAAGGTACGCGCACTCATACACTCAAGCTCTCTCACACTCTCAGAGAAATCCCCATTCACCTATTGACTTAAGCATCGAAGTGCCTTCCCTAGGTAAAAATTACTCGGGCACTCTCACCCTTCTTCCCTTGTAGCTCACTTAAGCTCGGACATCCAGACATCAACTCGGCCATACAACTCGGCCCAACCAGATTGGTATCCAGTCAGAGTCTGAATCATAATACACGAGGGAGTGTCCAGATTGCGCGACATCAGGTTCCGACCAGGTTTGATTTGGATTGGTCAATTAGTCTATATTAAAAATTAATATATGTATATGCATATCTATATATGTATAACTTAAAAGAGAATGGGTGTACATACCACTCTTGGAAGATCAAGAAGGTAGACCTTGGTGGACCATGCATGGGCAGCCTGTTCCCCTCCCAGGTTAGGCCCGGTATGACTCATGGCCTAGTTCCCAATCGTACTAGGCCAGGCCTAAGGAATTGGGCCATGGTAGGGCAGGTTTGGCTTGAGTCTATTT